TGGAGTGATGTACGAGAGGTGAGCGCACGGAGCTCGTCAAGGCCGCTCGAGGAGTGGTTGGCGTCTAAGCCCAAGAGTCAGCGATGTAGTTTTTCTATTGATGAGACTACCTCACCATTCATGCTGCTAGGCAGTGAGCCTGCAAGTGAGGGTAGCACCGTAAGCTAGTAGCAACCCATGATCAATGTGTGCCATTATATAGAGGTACTAGCGATCACCCCGACGAGAGAGGGCGTAGCATGTGCTTGTAGAGCCAAGCTTGACCCCGTAGTTAGTGTAGAAAAGAGGGGCGCTGAGAGGTTGATTCAATGCTCTTCGGGACGCGACGCGATCTCATCTGAAAAGGTCGGCGCCGTTCATGGCTGAGAGCGACGAAACCGAGCATGGGAAGCCAAGAACAAGACGCGGTGCAGGAAACGATGACGTACCGCCTGTCCCACAATTGATGGCAACAGCTTTCGGAAGGTCAAGCGCTCGATCACGACTACCACGACCGGCGGCTGGATACTGCTCAAGTTTGCCTTTGCTCCTATCTGAAGTCTTGCCTACGACTGTGCAAAGCGATCTCACAGTCTGTCTGATTGATTGGCTCTTCACTCTCTTGCCATGCCTGAGTATCCGCACGACGAGGTGCGTATCCTTGATCCTGTCAGCCGAACAGACCCTGATGAATTCCCTCGGCGGATGAAGTCCGGCACGGGCACCACAATGACGGTCACCTGTTCTACAACACTCAATCAACATGACTCATACGGAGATGACCATACACCACCTCCGACCAGCAAAAACAGCACCGCCCCTTCGTCGACCTTTGAAATCCGCCCGGGGCTGCGCACGTGGAGGTGTTGAGGATCAATACCGAGCACGCGACTGACCTCGTGTTGATTCTTTGACACTACCACCGCTGGATATCAACCACACGCAATGCCCGCATCCGACGTATTCTACTACCGTCAGACGTCTCACTGCGCTGGTATGAGATCTAAGAAACCCATGACGTCCGCCATGATGGACGCAATACATGCCTTGGGAAGTTGCGTCGATTGCCTCAACGCAGAAAAGGAGACGAAACGGAAGCGCACAAAGAAGGAGAAAGATGACGATTGTTTGTTTGGTAAGCCTCGTGGAACGTGAGAGGTTGAAGGCGCTGACCTCCAGTACGGATATGCGATGATAGCTCAGAAGAGGACCTTTGTGTTTTCCGCTGACGCGACGCTACTAAATGTCACCCTCTCAGACCTCAGCGTTGGTGCGGACCCCATTTGGACGAGCGGTCCGTCTAATAGGTCCCGCGGGCCCAGAACAGCATGTATTGTGCGTCATCCCCCCGCTACTGGTTACAAGTCTGACTTCCGAGTAGGAAGGCTGTGCGCGCGTGCTCCTGCCAGAGCTTAACCGCCATTCGTTCTTGCGGCTCAAATATAAGAACTCGGTGAAGAGGCCGTTTCCACTGGATGGTCGAAGGTACACATGCGGTCAGTGCATCGACACAACTTGTTCTGGGCTGTGGCCTGATATGGCGTCTACTTACAGAATGCTGTAAGGCGTCGATATTGTGTGCGTCCTTGCTGTGCAAACTATGCGGACGCGAGATATGCGATCGCTGCGAACAAGAAAAGCAGGTTGGCACCGCCGCCTTCAAGTTAGCTTAGAGTATTCTAACCGATTATACAGACCATTTCTTGTACAGGGCATGCGTCCCATCAGTACGTCCTGGTGGAGGCCTTTCGTCTAGGCGAACTGGAACGAGCCGTTGGATTCATGCAGCAAGTGGACCCGCTGTAAGTCGCATACCCAAGATCGCGAGTGACAAGTAGGCTGATTGTCAATAGGGAGCGGCCTCCGGAAGAATATAGAGAAGCGGGCCCTATACGGTTCAAACTTGGCGATAGATCTGGTCTACCTTACGGTCGCTTCAACAGTGCGCTTGCGGCGGGTGTCCCTGTCGTTATATCAGGTCTAGACCGAGACGAAGACATGTTGTCGCCCGAGTACCTCAGCCGCAATTTTGGTTCAGAAACAGTGAATGTCATCAACACCTTGACCTACGAGTCAGAGGAGCGAACTCTCAAGGATTTCTTGGATACGTTCGCCGACTCAAGACTGCAGGAGCCTCCATTGAAACTCAAGGTTCTCTCATGACTTCTCATGCATGCCATCCAGGACGCTGAGACATTGCGCAGGACTGGCCGCCGACTTCCCACTTCCAATCGAAGTTTCCGAGACTCTATCGCTGGTTCGAGATGCACTTAACAGCGCCCGAAGTCACAACATTGGAGGGAAATCTGAACTTGGAATCTGGCATGCCGGAGGGATCAGTGCCTCCCGACACAGGTACGGGCG